AACTAACAAAGAAGCCACAAGCACAGGAAAGTTGAACCAGGAGAATGAGCACATCTATAACCTGTGGTGCTCTGGTCGAGTGTGTTGTGAGGGCATGCTAATCCAGCTGAGGGTAAGTGGGAAACACTGGAACATAAATATATTTGAAAATTCTTTATTATTCCTGTAATTTCTTCTAAATATGAGTTCTAATCCTAAAATTTAATGTCTTGTCCCACGTTTGATTTTTTTTTTTTTTTTTTTAGGGAAGGGTCTACAGGGTGTTCAGGGTCTCACTACTAGATCGGACTCCTAGTGATCTGCATGTTTAGAGCCTCCCAAGAGCTGGGATTACAGGCGTGCGCCACCACGCCCAGTCTCCATTGCCCTCTCAGTGCGCCCTGGGCGGGGAGGCTGTGGCACAGCAGGCCTGGGGATGGAACCCCAGCCCCTGTGCTTGCTGGCAGGCAGTTTGGGATATTTGGTCAGTTAGCCCTCCATGTTTGATTTTAAATGAGTGCTAAATGTTCTAGTCTCTCTGGCGAGTGTGTTGATAGAGTATGTGACTTCCTATCAAGGCCCTGTGTAGTAGGTAGAAACTGCAGCTGTGTTAACTGTGTTAATTTTTTCAGTTCCTCAAGAGACAAGACTTACTGAATGTCCTTGCTCGGATGATGAGGCCAGTGAGTGATCAAGTGGTACGTGCTCTTTCTGCCCAGTCTTCATGCATACACTGAGTGTGTGCTCACTTAGATTGTTGAGCATTTCTGGCAACATGTGTCCCTTATCAAAAATTGATCCTTTTTTATTTAGATAATTTTCCACTTAGTTTGCAACTATCAGGAGGCCTTCACATGCCTTTTGGAGGGAAAAACATGATTCTCTGTCACCACATAAATCAACTGAATTAGCCTTGATAGAGGAAAAAACAGTTGTCACAGATCATTTGCCCTTGAATCCAGCTCTGCTCCTGTGTATGTTTTTATCTTGGCAAAAAGGTGAGGTTTTTTCCAAATATTTTTTGCTTTGAATAAATAATTTTAGTTGAAAGAGGCTGGGCTGTGTAGCAAGACTTTTCTCAAAATGGAAGTTTTCTTCAGTGCTTTAACCATTTTCTACCCTCTCTTGGAGTAGACTGAATCTTTTCCAGTGGGCCAACTATTCGTTTCTCTCAGAAGAGAAATAACTTCAGTGTATACAGATGGTTCTTTATATTTATTTGCTTTTTAAATTTTTTTATTTTTGCTGGATTCTATTTAAGATGTTGCTTTGTGTGATCTCCCATTAATGCTGGAAGAACAGAATATTTAGAGCTGCCATTTGCCAGGTCTTTCCTTATGTTAACATTTTACTTCCTCAACATCCAGGTAATTATTTGACCCAAACATTTAAAAAATATAATTAATAGGAAAAGGTGGCCATTTCTGATTATGTCAGCTCTTCGGTACAGCTCCATCTCTCTGGCTCAGTGTGAAGTGCAGTCGTTTACTTGCCCGAGGATGTCTTCTAACAGCAGCAGCCGCTTCTTGGCTTCTCTGGATACAGCCGGGCATCCAGCAGTCCCTTTCAGTTCAGTCCTGATGTTGCCGCCCTGGCGGTAGCTTCACGCCCCACAGTGCAGGTCCCAGCCCACACAGTGCCCCTTCTGCAGAGACAGTCACAGATCTCAGGCCACATGCATACACTTCGATTGAATAGGAGTCAGAGGTCCCCACTGTCTTCTGTAGGTTCACTCACAAGACTCACCGAGGAGGGCATTTGCTGGCTTACTACTGAAGATACGACTTAGTAAGCTGAAATAAACTGTTCTTTAAAAAAAGGCCTAGCCGAGAAGAGACTGAGTGAACTATGAGAGGAGCGGTGCACGGTTTCCTCAGGCCCTCTGAGCACACCGTACTCCTAGCGGTTGAATTCACCAACTCGGAAGCTCCCTCAATCATGTGAAGACTTTTTCTAGAGTAGTCTTCTTTCTCTCTTGTCCCCAGAGGTCCTGAATGGAACTTAAAGGGTGACTGACCCTCTAAGCATTGATTTTTCTCAGACTAGCCCCATTCCTGAGACCATCTAGGGATCATCTTAAGTCACTGCATTAGTGTAAACTCAGTTGTGATTGAGAGAAGTTAGTTATCTATAGCAAAAGACATGTAGCACTCAGGAAATTCTGAGGGTAGAAACCTGAGACAAAAATCAAATGTATTTGTTATATCATACGTCCAATTTGGATCTTGTTTATTCCTGATTTTTTTTACTCAAATACTTCTACATGGATAGTGTTCTATTATTGTATAAGGAATTATCACAAATTTTGCAGCCTAACACCCATTTGTTATTAGTGCACAACTTCTGTATAAGCAATCCACAATGATGAGTTAGCTAGCTAGATTCTCTGTTCAGGATTTATTTTATTTCTTTTTTAAAGCTGTAGATTGAATGCAGGGCCTTTATAGAGTTGTATCCTCATCCCTCTTTTGAGACAGAGTCTCACTAAGTTGTCCTGGCTGGGCTCAAACTTTCTGTACCCCTGCCTCAGCCTCCCAAAGTGTGAGATTACAGGCATGGACTGCTGTGGCCAGCTTGTTTAGGATCTTAACAGTCTGAAATAAAGGTGTCAGCTGGACTGGTTCCCTCTTCTCAGCATCATCAGGTTAGCAGAATGTGGTTCCTTGTGGCTGTAGGTCCCCCTTAACTTCCACTGCCTGTCAGTGGGAACCATACTCAGCTCCTGGAGTCTACCAGCAGGTTCTCCCCATAAGGAACCTTCTGCCTTACTGAAATGTAAGGGTGAGATTGATACTCTATCATATTTGCAAATCCTACTCAAGGGAAGGGTGTATGTTCCAAAAGGAGGAATCTTAAGGGTTATTTGAACCTAACACAGAAGCCAACAAAGTAAACTTTTTGTTTTTTTAAGCAAATAAAAGTAACCATGAATGATGAAGACATGGATACGTATGTATTCGCTGTAGGCACACGGAAGGCGTTGGTGCGACTGCAGAAGGAGATGCAAGATCTGGTATGTGTTTCTGCTACTTTTCTCTCATTGCTGAAACAAAAGACCCAACACCCAGACTTGGCACCCAGGATTAAGGAAGACAAGGAGGTTTAGTTCACAGTGTGTGGAGGTTTGATTCCATACTTGGCTGTCTCCAAGGCAGAGTGGCACATGCAGAGGGTGACATTTCATGGCAGCAAAAAACAGCAAAACAGCAAGGGCAAAAAGCAGCAAACGCAGTAGCAACAGTGGCAGAGGCAAGCCTCTCCCTTATATTGGTTGCATCCAGGCTGTCTTTGGGTGTAGCACTCACACCCATAATCCCAGTATTGGATTATGAATTAATCACAAACTCTAGAAGCCCGCCCCAATCGGTGACTATATGAGGCTTTGGGGGGACAACTAGACACAAACCATTGCAGTATGTCAAGTTGCACCTCAAACATGCTCAAAACCATGTATCTTAATTCATAGATGTCCATCTTCATAGGTAGGACAATCTTACCAGTCAGTAGTTAAACATTACTTTGAAATGAATCAGTACATAGTGTAGGAAAAAATTACGTGTGACTGTTAACATATTATGTAATGTGTTTTTCCAACTTCCTTTTCTTCTAGAGTGAATTCTGCACTGATAAACCTAAGTCTGGAGCAAAATATGGGCTGCCAGACTCTTTGGCAGTCCTGTCGGAGATGGGAGAGGTCACAGAGGGAGTGATGGATGCGAAG